AGTTTAGATGTATGGATGTATGGATGTATGGATGTATGTTTGTGACAAGTGAACGCGAAAAATACTGGTCGGATCGGGCTGAAATTTGGCATGATGATAGCTAACATTCCCGATTAACATATAGGCATATTATTATTTCAAAAATCCTTTCGGGCTCCGCCCCAGTGGCTCTGGAGTTTCCCATGTTAGCCTTATGAGAAATGGAATTATTGAATCTTAACAGCTGTTTCAATTAAACAAGTTGGTCCTGTTCTATGATGTTCAATAGCATTAAAGTTACAAGGATTACCAACAGGGTGCAGCACTATTATTTCTTTTACATTTATGACAACGGCTAATTTGCAACCAAAAGGTGAGTGAGCGTAGCGAACGAACTTCAACCTGTAGGCGAGTTAGCGTAGCGAACGAGCTAACCTGAAGGCAAGTGAGCGCAGCGAACGAGCTCCAACCTAAAGGTGAGTGAGCGTAGCGAACAAACTTCAACCAGGGCGTGATTGAGCCATGCAAACGAGATAATCTTGAAAAGTAAGAAGTTAAACGGGGCAAAGCCCGCGGGTTACAGCTAGTCTTTTATAGATCCATGAAGCGTAGCCCTAAAGTAGGCCTATAATTGAAAGTTACTTTCCACATCGGTTAACTTAAACGCATTTAAAGTACTACCTCAACCTCACCATTTAACACTTTATTCCGGTTGACATTTTCAGTATCAAAGGTGCTCTTGTCCATTCCGTGAAACACTGAGAAATAAGGACATTAATGCGTTACCAACATACAACAAAACAACACAATACAACAATCCAACAAAGGCCACGAACTATTGATACATAAACAATATAAAGGCGTAAACAATTCATGATGGTTTGCCCAACAAATGTTTTACTCAAATAGGTTATCATTTTCTTAGCATACCGGGTAAGCTAAGATTTGGAATCCAGCCAGAAAAATCAAAACTTATACAGATTTAAGACATCACTTAAATTGAATACGGACGGCTCTAATAAATAAGGTGCAACACCAACGATATCAAATTTGTAAACTACCGGTTCTAAGGAAAAGAACCAGTACCTACGTAAGAACCTACCTAAGAACTATAGTAAATCGGACCAATTAAATACATTAATATCTAGTCCCGAGGTTATTGATCTCTTGCTTTTGGATTTTCTCGTAAAAAGTTATAGCGTAAACTTATCGGAAAATACCATATTAGCTTTTTTGAAACCATTCAAATAGCGTAATATAATTTAATTGTATCCCTTAAGTCCTATACAACAGAGTCACATACAACTTCGATGAACATGAATATTGAATTTCGTGAACTAAAGTGGGAAAAAACTATACCCGATATAACTTTAGGTGGACTCATTCATGCTTGTAGGTGTCAAATGACTTTAACATCTAAGGATTCAGTTCCTTGGGGCATTGAGTTGATTCCATAAGGACTTATTGATATTTGCACATATTGGTATCATTTACTAGAGGCAGATGTTTGTAAAGGGGTTGTAATGAACTTCCTACAGTTTATTTTTATACTTCCTTCTTACTACCCTAAAAGAACCAGAGTTAAAGACCGTAATATTAAAGGTTCAAAATCAATCGGTGACGTTGATGAATTAAATCAGTGTGCCAAATTGTATTTTCTTCTTTTTGACTAGAGAAATATGTGATTGAAGTACTTAATGATTTTCATCAATTGTAGCACTTCTTCCATAGAGTCTACCATTTGGGCTCAAAATTGGACGATAATATAAGGGTTACAATGGTTTATTTAGCAATTTGCATTAGTTTGAGATATGTGGCACCAAACCTTAAAAAAAATGGATTCCTAAACACAATCACTATAAAAATCTTTCCACCCTCCGCCTTTACTCAGTCTTCTTAAAAGGATCCAAGCATCAAAGACTTTACACCAGAGCTTAAACAGTATTACAGCAATCGTTATACTCATGAGACATGTTACCCTGTCTTACATTTTCAAAAAAAAATTGAAGATCATCGTCATCTGTAGAACTCGTCTTCAAGTTTGCTTACTCTTTTCTAGAAAGTTGGCATTTCTCAGACACGTGGAGAGCAGCGGCCTTTCGATTACCGTCATCTTCGCCTCCTAGACCCCGCATTAGGAGAATCACTGACGCCTATCGTGCTGTCTAATGCTGGGTTTGTTTGGCAGAAGAGGCCAGTGTCAAACCTGGAACAACGCGGGACTTGGTGTAGTTCATCTGCATAACCGGTTAATTAGCGGAGGTTACTGAGGAGCATCTGCAATCTCGACCTTCAGCTTCTGGTCTTGTAGCTGGTGAGTGTTGAGTGGTTTTAATTACCAAACCGTAATCAAACGTCTTCTGCAGATGTAACTGATAAGTCATCTGCAAGGCATTCGACGTTTGGTTGGAGGTGAGGACTAATTATATGCCTTATTGGTGTTAGAGGTGAAATATTTGTCATAGCTAATAGCAAATTGCTGATTTTCGTCCTGATCTTCATCATTTATGGTTTTGTAGTAAAGGTTGACATTGATAGATATTAGATTACAATCATTCTAGGGTTTGTATTTTAAGGCTAAATGAGTAAAAGATGAGTGTGAATTAATAAGATAATAATAGCTTTGCTATTGACTGACATGACCTGGTTTCTTGTTAAGGGCTTTTAAGCTGATAATCACAGCAATGATCAATGACAGCTGGGTTTAGTTTAGAGCGATCCAAAAGCTCCTTAATGGTCGAAAAGGAAAACTACTGATTATGTCGAGCAATACATCCATTTAGCTATGTTGAGGTTTGTTTTTTGTCAGGGATTTATCATCATCGAGTTCACTTGTTTATTAATTAAGTTTGGCTGTATTTTAAAATTACACTCTATCCCGAGTATTAAAAAATTTAACGCTTCTTCAAAATATATTTTACTCTTAAGTCAATCTAAAAAAATTGATTGTCCATCCACGCATCAACGTATGTAAAAAATACGCCCTTGTTCTTTCCTGCTCTACTATTCACCCACTTATTCACTAAACGGTTGCAGACAGTAGTTTAGAGTTTTAATGGTACCTCCATATTCACTACTTTACCAGGAAAGAGCAAAACATCTGTCGGGTGCAGTTTATGTATGGTGGTAGGAAAGTAGATCAGCAGGTTATAAAAGTACAGTAAGGCACCGCGTAAGCACGTACCTTCCTATTGCACGCGCTTCCCGCCTATTTGCCTACTTCTACTTCCTCAGTTATGATGCAGTCCGATTATCATTGACCACGAATCTCCCATCCTTGTTTACATGCATTTGGCAAATCGTCGTATTACTTTCAAAAAGGGAGAATGTTTCCCGCTTAAAAGTGTTGGTAGCTTTATTTTGAGGTCGTTGAAATACTGGCTTGGATTTATTTATTTGGGACATACGGGTAACTTAGTTTTACGTAGTTGAGAGGAAACTAGAATGTTATATATTACAAGTTTTATTTTATACGGAATGTTTACACTTGGAACGATTCCACCCTACGGAAAGGGTGACTTAAAAGTATTCTAAAATGCGATATCACGAGGGAAATTATAGGATCACCACTAAGATGGACACAAACTACAATCGATAAGACCACAGACAACATGGCAAATGTAGAAAAAAAGGCATAAATTATGCTTCATCAAAAAACTTCAACAAGACTAGCCTAAACAATGCAATACGTAAAAAGTGTAAAGGCAGAAACACCTTGGATATCTCAGGTCAGGACACACTACTTGGCAGGACTATAAGAATAAATTTACTAAAAAAAAAAGGCTGAGAGAGGATATATGGCGATGGGTGACAACGATGGTGAAGAGTAAGGCGGGGAATGAAAGCTTAAAAAGAGCGGAGGCTAGAATGGTGGAAAGAAGATAGGAAGATAACTCCTAAAATGAAATTAAGAAAGTTTGGGTTTAAAGAGTGAACTTCGAGCGAAATTTGATTAGCCCAACAGTTTTTATACGCTACCTTTAGACAAGGTATGTGAATGAAATGTTTCTCCTCAATTAGACTAAGGAATACTATATCTTAAGCAAAAAGGAAAGATTACACATAAGATACAATTTTGTTTTAGCGTAAGTAAATATTGTGCCACGGTACTACATTGAATGGATAAATGGATCCCCACCCCGAGTATTCTTTTGAGGAAAATATGGTTTACCAAATTAGGAATATTCTTAGATGCTAAGAGAACCAATTTTTTTAGTACTATAGTAAATGTTTTAAAGTGCATTAATAAAGTTATAGTTTAGATATGTACTCATTACTAAATCCATACGTTCATACATTTTACTTTTTAATTAATATGCGTAAACTATTCCCGTAGCCCAAGGCCCTTCACACCGTCTTCAGAGTGGCAATAGAAGAAACTATATATTTAGGCGGTCCCAAGAATATCAGCTACTTCACATGATTGATCGGTAAAGAAATATGTTATCCGCACACTAATTTCATTACGAGTTAAATTTAATTGTGGTTGAGTTCGTTTACTTTGTCAAGCTAAACACGAATGAAAAGAAAAATCACTGGCAGGAAAATTACGTTTTGCGATTCTGTCAAACCAAGCATTAAAGTCTCTCAAAGAAAGTTTAAATATACCGTGTATCTTTTTAAGTGTGTTCTAGTATTAAGTTTAAGTGAATGCAGCGTCAAAACACAATAGTGTATCATGGAAAATAATAATTAACCTGAGGCATAAATATAATTTTATATTGTAGCATACTCATTGACTATTGAGATATGTCATTAGTGTTTGGCGAATTCAACTAAGCAATTTTGTAATAGAAAATTTGCTATAACTGGTCCACATATCCCTACTTTGGTACCCAAAAATGGATGGTTTAATCTCTGCTTTAACTAATTTTCAACTATATTTCACGCTGACTACTCAACCAACTCCGGCTGTCTGTACGCTGAGTCGCTGAGTCCTGCTCGACCAATGAGGGCACATCTTTCCCAAACAAAACTCCTGGAGATGCCCCCGCCACAGTCAGTCGCTCGCTAGACGTCGCGAGTGTCGTGCGTTCCGCGTTCCATCCCAGCGTTCCGGTCAGTGTTCCGTCGTTCCTGCCGTCTCAAGCATCAGTTCTTCTATTGCCAAAGTGAGTTTTTGTGATATTCTCCATAGAGTAAGTGTTTTCTAGTTGTTTAAGTAATGGATTTAAATATCGTTTTTAATACAAAATATCATTTTAAAAAAATTGGAAGATAGGTCTATACTTTTTAAATTTCTTGATAACTAATTATCTTTAAATTTATTGAGGATAAACTTTTAAAAATATTGAAATTTTTGAATACCTTACAACTATTTAGTATTAAAAATATTTTTTTGTTTCGTTACAAACATGCCATCTTCTGATTTTCTGGTTTACATTTATAAGTAATATAAACTATCCTTTATAATTTATAATCTAAGTTAGGCGTGCTTATGAATAATGTGTAGATTTTTGATAGTTAATTAGTATACATTTTTAGAATTTTGTGAATGATATTCAAATAAACATGATTATCAAAATTAATTTTGGGCGTCGTGTAGAAGATATGATTATTTTTGTAATTATTTCGAATCAGTGGATTATTGTGTGATGGAAATTGTGTTTTTAAAATCCATATAATATTCGTCAAGGCTATAGGAAGCTATTTGAAGTAACCTTTTGGAATAACAAAATCCCCTAACCCACGTTTTCGCGAAACCATATTGTAGGTAGATGTACTCGTCGATGTAAGAATCAACTGAAAACTGAATTTAAAAAGTCGAAATATTACTATGTTTTTGGAAGAAAGAGATTTAAGTACAATTTTCCTTAGTTAAGATATTTCCTATCATAAAGCCCTGAATAAACTAAATTATTAAAAGCTAATAAAACCATATATTAATCATTTAGAAGGCCATTTAATCACTTATTTAATGAGAAACTATACCAGTTTTAATATGGAGGAGTAAAAAGGATTCTGTATTTTTCATCGTAACTCTTTCTACGTATTATAGCTCAAAATGTTGATCACAAATCCTTTAAAATATAGCAGGTGAAACTTAGAAAAAAAATCAATTAAAACATTACACTCCTACTGAGAAAAAAAAATATTTCGGGATACTGTATATAACAAAATGTTAACTGAATTTCCTTCTTATAGACTAAAGGACATCACATCTTTATTTGGACATTAGTCAATTAAATTGTTCATGTATAAAAGGCCAAACGGGTTTATAAATTAAAATGAATTAAGAAAATCGAACATTGCTACAGGTTTTAAACGCCCTATCATAAAAGTATAGGCCTACATCTACTAGCTGTCCCTACTCTTTATTCTGTGCCCAATAAAAACACAAAACCCGAATAGGTGCATGATGTCAAAATGTTGTCTACCAAACCTTTCCAACAAATCTACAACTCCCCCTAAATGGTCTGTATCTCAACCTAATCCTGAAATATACACTGCAAAGGCTTATTTTACATATAAACACCAAGAATTGAACCACAATTAACACTAAATCTCGAATAAACGTGTAAAATAGTCCAATCAATCACATCTAACAAATCTACAATCCTGAATATAAAAAACCCAGTTTGTTAACTCTAACGCTTTCTCGAGCTTATCTACAAGTCCATAACTACAAGATACCAAACAACGGTAACGTCCAGGTGTTTACAAGCATCGCTCGGTAGCAATACAAGTCAATGACCGCGACAAGCCTTACAAGACAAGCTCATGGTCATGGACACGACCTTTCGCCGCGTGACTGGCGACGTCCATACAAGGTACAAGCCGTGATCTCGTATCGGATCAGCATCAGCATGGCGCAGCATAGACGTGCATGAGCAAGGATGCTTCCGTGCAAACCGGCGTGTTAGGTAAATCGTGATTTTGTATTGATAGTGATAGTGGTGTTTTGTAGGGGACAATGCTGAACGCGTTTAAGGAAATCTCTCAAAGTTTTGGGATATGCCGGGGATTAAACCCGTCGAATCCAAGAAGCCGTCCGATTGTCTAGCACCTAGCACACAGATTTTGATGTGATCGCTGACAGTTTTGTAAATTCAACCAGGCATATGTAATGTATATGGTCTATGCAATTTTACAATTCGTTTTGCTTTTGTTTTTATGCAATTCGCTATTGAAAGTAAAGTACGCCAGAGCAATCAATACCTATTAATTGTTAAAAAATAGTTTTTTTGTGAATATAGTATATGTCCCGGATACTATCCCACAGTTTAGGGTATTGAAAACTTATTAATAACTCTTTAAAAAACATGGATTCTGATTTTTCTCTAGAGTGTTTCTGTTTGTGTTAGTATGATAGAGAATGGTATGTTTCTTCTCTAGTCCTAGCAAGTTGCAAGTTTGGTGTTGTAACAGCCAATACAACCTGTTAGGCCTACACCTAATCGTGAAGGTTGTTTGCCAACACATTCAAATGTTTGACTTTTTTTAACTGTTGTGGCATTCTTTAGGTGTTTGTTGAGTTTTATATCAATTTTCAACAGCGAATGGTTGTCACCGATCTACAAAGTCTACTATTACCAAACAAAACAACTCAAGCAAAAAATATTGTTATTTATTCCTTATTTCTCTGTAAAAAATTACGCATAGTTTAGTATTTAGCAAAATTACTGAAGTCTAAAGGTATTTTTAGTCAAATTATATAAGACATTTTATACTTTTACATGTATTAGTATATTTCTGGGAAAATCAGATCTGAGGTAATCTAAATCTTCTTCAAAAGGAAGGATGTAGATAAATAGGTCCTTAAAATATTTTTGAACCTCCTTGGCTTTAGATTGTACTTATCAGCTTTGATCGAGTCTTGCATTAACTCCTGAACACTTTTTTTTTAGAGATTTAACAATTATATACCTATAACAAAGCATTGCACCCGAGAGGCCCGCCAAGTGCATGGTAAGGGCGACCATGCAGCAACAGGGGTCAACGACCTAGTATCAAATATCACAACGCCTCCACATCCTTCCATACATACGTATTATATTCATCTATATTCACCTTCCGGGAATAAATGTCCACCAGACCGCGAATAGTTAGTTACTTGGAGTGCAATTTGACTCTTATTAAACGCTTTCGATATATCCACTCTTGGTATGATCAGAAGTACGAGTTCGTAATTACTGTGTGGCGAAAACAATATATATAATGTTTTATACATTGCTTTTATACATTTATGTATAAGAAAATACATATTGTCTATCAGATGTGATTGTTTACGATTTTATAATGTATATAAAACTGAAATTTAATCGGATTCAGCCTTTTATTGAAGCTACCGTATTGAATTTACACAGCATAAAACAACTGATTATCTTTACTAACCATACTGTAAGTTGGTCTAACAAAAAAATATATAAGTAAGTGAATTGAAACACATTTTATAACGGAGAACAGGGAGACTTTAACGCCCGAAAACGGGGACTGAAGTCTTGAACTCTTGTGATTGTCCCGGCTCAATGTTATGAGCTTTATTATGTCTACGAAGGCTATTAATGAAAGATTCCACGTTCAAAGGCAGCTTGGTCCAACTTACGTATCAAACTTATATCAAACGAAAACGAGTAAATCACATCATTTTTGACCTCGTTTATCAACTTCCCTCTGTCAGTACTCGATACTCACGTGATGGCAGACTCGCTGTCCGATGCCCGGCTATTTATAGTCTGTCCGGTGAAATGTAACAGACCGGGCAGACAGGTTGCTGGACCGGTCTTGGGCAGTGAACATCGGGCATCTCTGGGCAAACTTCCTTCCTTCCAACACCTAGCCGGGTCAGTTGTCTACTTCCTGTGTGGAGACCGCAGAAGGTCAGGGTCCTTGAGCTTTGAGACGAGACACGGAATCTAAGATTATGCTATTTTAAAGGAATAGTTTCGTAAATTACCTCGTGTTGAGTTTCAATGTGAAATAAAATGGAGGTGGGGTGGTTTGCAGAAGGATGTCTTTGATCCTGATGCTTTTTGTAAGGAACTAGAATGCTATTGGGCGAATCTCAAGATTTCGCGGCATCCCTTTTAGTCCAGAATGAGATTATGATCGCTGATTGGTAGTTTAATGTTGTCACGCTTTAAGAAATGTTTAGATGCAGCTCATTAACATACAGCCTTAAAGCATTTTTGCTCAAGGCACTGACGAATTATTGTCCGGCAGAATGTGCAAATCGAGGATCTCAACGGTCCCTCCTGGTAACGTCCACCAGATTGTAATTCTAGTTGTTTTGTAAACTCAAAGCAATATTTTAGAAAATGTTTGTCGTCGATTGTAGGTGTGTTACAGATTGTCACCCAATCTAGTTATCTCCACGGTCCCAGGTAGGATTCTCGTTTTTGTCCCGTGTTTGGAGTTTCTTTTTGCACCTTCGCCACAGGGATCTAGAGTCCTCTAATGCGTCCTTTGTTGGATTTAGTGAAGACCACAAATTTAACAATGATTGTGTAAGAAGGAAGTCACGGTGATTCTCTAGTAAATCGATAAGCAATCGGCAATCCTATGTACACGAATTCCCCTGCAAGTTAGGGCTATTTAGTAAAATATTTATGTGTTTATGAACCAAAAGATAACATGTCGTAAATTTAAGGTTCTATATGTTTTTCAGGACACTTCAATAATGTGTTTACTGAAATATCTGTAACAATATATTTTTAATTTCGTAAAATACAGTTAGATTGAAATGTTTCGAATCCTAAGAAAGAATAGTTATTTGTGCAACTAGTGAGAAAAGTGAGCAATTGACTCACTCGAGAGAAATCGTTACTCACGAGCCGTAGGCGAGTGAGGAATGGTTTCTCGAGTGAGGCAATTGTACTTTGAACTCGAGTTGCACATTATACTTTTCCTACAGTTACCATAATTTATGAAGAAACATAACCTATTTTTGCACAGTGAACTTTTAATATAACATTTAATGTGAAGTGACAAATACAACAGTACAACAGCTGACCAGCTGATTTACAGCCAGTGCTGCCAACGTATTTCGCGCGCATACGACGTTGCCTGCATGTTACGTGCTCACTATTTCGTGCCTTCACGTTGCAAATCTGGAGTGAGACAAAGTAATTAGAGTGAGACAATGTTAACATTGTCTCACTGATGAGCGAAT